AAATCTCTGTTGAGAAGACTAATCTGGAGTCAACCAAAATTGACAGCAGTTCTGAGATCAAGTCTGAAGGTAACATAACTGGTATCTCTATGTGAACTGACTTAAAGTGCATCTGGAGGACGTCCAGATTTGAAGTTTTCTACGCAAATCTGTTCATTGCATTTCCAGATTCTAGTGGCAGATCCAAGGGTGACGACGATAAACCCCCGTATGAAGGTGATGAGTGTGGAAGCTTAGGGTCTCCATTTTACAAAGGCGAGTCACTGCTTGAAAAAAGCTCTTTGGAGTGGAGGGATACTAATGAGCTCACGCCAGAAGAGGGTAAGTCCATACATTTTATATGTATCTATTGTGCAAAAAGAGTCAACTTCATATATTTCCTGTTTTTCTTAAGAAAACTTCACCATGGTTGAGTTTTCAGGTGAATTGATCAACAAGTTTTTGAACAATAATCGCAGTCAGTTAACTGTTACTGGGTGAGTGATGGTATTGATTGATTAGCTAGGTTTTCTATAATTGGCTACACTGGTTTTGTCTTTATACTTATTGATGACCATATTTTCCAGACTCTCGTACTTGCAAGAACAAGTTAAAGAAGATGAACTTTGTGTTTTCTTCCGAAACAATCACTTTCTAACCATGCTGAAGGTATCTTACTTATATGCAAATCTGAAGGTTTTTTTTCTCTCAGTATTTTTGATCGATAACCCGGAAGTAGTTTAGAGGAGATTCTAACATTTATACTACAAATTCTTGAAGATTGATTTATTATAACTTCTGATCATGTGTTGCAGTATGATGGTGAACTCTATCAATTGGTTACTGATCAAGGCTATCTGACGCAGCAAGACTTGGTTTGGGAAAAATTGAACAAGGTATTTGTTCTTCTTTTTTTTTGATAACTAAACAAGGTATATTTGTGAATTATGTATTAGTTAGCTTTACGAGGAGAGAATATTTTGTTATATGCAACTCTCACATTGATTGCAACTGTTTGGTTTTAAAAATTTCAGGTTAAAGGGGATTCTGTCTTCATGACTGGTGACTTCAAGGTCTTCAAGAGCGACGAGGGCAAGAGTCGAAAATGGAATCAAAAGCACGCAATTAGTAATACTGCGGTATGAAAAACTCCTTCTGCTTCTGGATCATTTTTTGAAATTTCAGTACTGGCTTTACAAATTTTGAATCATTTTTTTTTCAGGATTATATTTTCAGCATCAACAAGAGCTCATCGGAAGAAGGCATGGAGATAGAGTAAATATCTCATACTTTCTGTTCTTAATTCAATATTCTTGCCCGTTGTTTCTAACTCTATAACAAGTTTAAGATTTGTTTTCGGTTTTTATGGTAATGCAGTACCGATCTGGAAATGGCGATGATATTGCAGCAACAAGAGTTGGCAGGAGACATTTATTCAGAGGTATAGTTTAGCTGATTTTGATCCTTACTTGTGCACATAATATCAAAAATTTAGAACTTTCCTAAAAGTGTAAAGAGGATATAGAAACATTTTTTTTTCATGTCTTTCAAAAAACATAACTGCTACCTTTGCAGTATGTTCTTGTACCAAATAGCTGCTACCTTTCAAAACCTTACAAACTTAAATAACGAATAAAATACTCAAACTACAGAAGAATTAGCTTTGAGGCTTAACCAAAATTACCTCAAAAGTATCCAAACACAAGGAACCAAATAAAGAAGTACCTTGTAAGATTAACAAACAGACTAACCCCCAAAAAGGTTAAATCTCAGAAGCGATTGCGATAAGGATATAGCAGCTGTGGTTTTCTACTACAATTGATCAACAACATCCTAAACATTAACCAACCCACACCATAGCAGGTGACTTAATGTAGCGCCTTGAAAGAGTGAAAACGGAAAGTGTTTTTAGCAAATATCAGACATCGTGATCTGAATGTCACAAGTTCAAAGTCAATATGAAACCACCAGATGTTAGTAATGATAGGCATTTTTACAAGCAATGAATGTCTTCCTCTTCGTCTTCTTATGTTATCAATGAGATGTGTAATAACTAAGTGTGTGAAATCTCTTCAGGTATCAATAAGAAGCAACCAGAGGCCTTCTTCAATGCAGGAGGAAGTGAAACCTGTAGTCCAAAGATGGCTAATGTACATTCATGTATATGATCGTTTTTCTTTAAAAATAATTTTATATTTTTTTGTCAAATATTTTGTGTATATTTACAAAAATACCACTTTTGGTGTCCATTTGCAAAAATGCCACTAATTATGATTTTTTAGAGCCTAAATCTTAAAATTTTAAACCCTAAAAAATCTTTTGACCCCTAAAACCCTCAAAACTAAACCCTAATACACCATAGTGAACTCAAATATGTATAAATGATATATTGAATAAATAATTTTGAAAAAGTTGCATTTTTACAAAGATTATAAAAGGATGGCATTTTTGTAAAGTGGCAGTGACAGTTTTTGAAATTTCTCATAGTCTCTCTCTTTTTGAGAATACTTTACAACAGAAGCACACATGTGGTTTAGGTTGTGTGCGAGACCGGCTAAGGAAATTGTTCCTTTCAACGAGAAGGCTTTTAGACGTTGGCCATTGAATGTAAATTGACCTCCACTAGGATCTCAGATAACCCCCATATAGTTTCACCTCTTTCACATAAATGAAACTTACCAGAAAAGAGTTTTAAACGTGACTTGAAAAATAGCTTTAGTTTTAATTGATATTGCAGTGAAACTTAGGTTTGGGTTAAAAAAAAACAAAAAAGCTTAGGTTTCGCCGTTTAGGTTGTGTGCGAGAGAGAGAGCGATGTCTTCTTCTTCGCCCGACCGCCGGTCCGCCTTGGATGTTCTGATGTGCAACGCTCTCGTAAAGAACAAGAAAAGAAACGGAGAAAACCCTAGTTCCTCCTATATTATCGTCTAGGGTTTCGCAACTCAAGAGCAGAACTGGATTGCTGAAGAAGAAACCAGATGACTTCGATCCTGAAACTGTGTCTTGTTGGGAGAAAGGAGAGAGAGTTCCGTTTCTATTTCTCTCCTTAGCCTTTGATCTCATTTAAACTGAAAGTGGACGGACTGCGATCACTGATATTCTCTGTAACTTGTTGAGAACTGTTATGGCCACTACTCCGGAAGATTTAGTCCCTACGGTTTATCTTGCAGCCAATGAGATTGCACCTGCTCATCAAGGTGTCAAATTGGGAATTGGCACTGATTCCATCATCAAGGCTATCTCTCAAGCTTTTGGTAGAACCGAGTCTCACGTTAAGAAGCTCAATACGGTACCATTGAGCTTGTCTTGTGGCTATAAGGTTTTTGAATAAGGTCTTGCTTAGTGTATCACTTGTCTCTGTGGTGGATTTGTAGGAACTGGGAGACTTGGGGCTTGTAGCAAAAGGGAGCCGTTCGTCTCAGACTATGATTTTCATGCCCAAACCATTGACTGTTGTCAAGGTTACCGACACACTTCGCCAAATTGCAAAGGTATTTTAAGAGCCTTTATTGTGTTTTCGGCGTTTGAATGCTTTGCTTTTCTTCAGATTATTATTGCTTATTGGCGGGAATCTGGAAAAGGTAGCAAGGAAAAGAAGAAAGATCTAATCTAGTCACTTCTTGTGGCAACAACAGATTGTGAACCTCTTTACTTAACTCGTTTACTCGAGGAAAAGTTGCGGTTAGGGTTCTCGCGTCAAACTGTTTTAGCTGCCTTGGGACAAGCCGATGAAGACCACTCTAAGCCACCCCCAAATACCAAGAATCCTTTAGATGAGGTTCGCCATTTTTACATTCAAATGGCTATATAGTATTCTTCTAGAGATTTATCTCCTCTGTTTTTGTAGGCGGCTAAGATTGTTAAAGAAGTATACTCTGTACTTCCTGACTATGACATTATTGCTGCTTCTCTTCTAACTAGTGGTGTGTGGAATCTTCCTAAAACTTGTACACTTACACTAAGCTTTCCGGTCTTACCAATGCTTGCAAAAGCAGTTACAAGTTTAAGTTTGGTACTTGATAAATTTGAGGACACTGTTTTCACATGCGAATACAAATATGATGGTGAACGTGCACAGATACATTATATGGAGGATGGTACATTCGAGATATTCAGTAAACATGCTGAAAGAAACACTAGCAAGTACCCTGATGTTGCTCTTGCCTTATCAAGGTAAGTACACTTCTTGGTATTACTTGTTCAAAACATTAGAAAGACCAAATCTTTCTAGTACTCAAGTTAGTGTAAAAATTTCTCTATGTAGGTTAAGGAAGACCTCAGTGAAATCGTTTATCCTGGATTGCGAGCTTGTTGCCTTCGACAGAGAAAAAAAAAGAAAACTCTTCCGCTCCAGATTTTGAGCACTCGAGCTCATAAAAATGTGAATGTCAGTGATATCAAGGTTGGAGTATGCATTTTTGCTTTTGACATGTTATATCTAAATGGCCAACTACTTATCTGAGGAGAATCTGAATATTCGCTGAGAGGTGAGCTATATCAGTAAATCATAACAAAGGTTTTTCCTTTTTCTTCGATATCAGTGAAGTAACACTTGTTTGCACTTGCTTCTACCAGAAGCTATACGATTCATTCGATGAAGATCCTGGATATTTTCAGTTTGCAACTGCTCTAACATCCAGCAATGTCGGTGAAATAGAACAGTTTCTTAAAGCTTCTATTGACATTGGGTATATATATCTGAAACACTTGTCTTTTTATCTCTAATTGTTGCCTACCACCTTCTTTACAGTAGCCTCTATTTACTTGAACTGCACTTGTATTTTGCAGCTGTGAAAGTTTAATTGGCTAAAACTGAAGAAGGACTATATGGACAGGCAATATACACTTTTAAACAAATTTGTGTTTATAAAAGTTTAGATACTAACGGACTCTAGGGTGTATATACAGTAGCATTGGGGATTCTGTGGATAAGGAAGAATTCCAGAGCATTTGTAACATTGGTCAGTCTTATGCACCTTCACATTTCATTTTTTGTATGTCAAGTTTCTCATACATGGGCTGGTCTTACGGATTGGGCTAATAGGTAGTGGATTTTCTGAAGCAGAGCTTCAAGAGCTGTCTTCCAGTCTTTGCTCTAAAGTGATTGCTACTCCAAAAGTAAGATAAGATAATTTCTTTCTTTCTTCTCTCTGGCCTATATATTTCCTGCAACATTTATATGTTGTGTTGCCTGAGTTGTTGTTAATTGGTAATGATTCAAATAATCCAGCAATACTACAGAGTTGATGACAGTCTCAATCCAAATGTCCCACCGAGGTAGGATTATGTTTGTTTTGTACTCTAATGATATTTATCTCATGGGTCCAAAGTGTGTTTGATGCAAAGCTAAATAATGTGGTTTTGCTTAAGGTGTGGGAAGTGAAAGCAGCTGACTTGACGATTAGCAACATCATCATTGTGCAGCTATCGGAATCGTGGACCCTGATAAGGTTCAACATTGTTTTGCTTCTTTGTTTTGATTATTATAAGCAACTGTCCTTATTTTGAATTATTGTTTTGGTTTAAAAGGGGATTTCCTCGTCTTGTCCGTGTAGCCAGAGGAAGCAACATCATCGGATCAGATTGCTGAAATGTATGTAGCTCAGAAACACAATCAACAAAGCAATCAAGACAACGGTGACGATGATTATTGAACAAGTGTAATTTGGTGTTCTACATTGCTCCTCGATAGTTGAATAGTAAAACTGTTTTTAGATTTAAGAGATTTTTTTGGTCAAAAGCTCTGTTTCATGGCCCCGTATAGAGTAATAAATTTACTGTATGTAAAACTGTTTCAGAATACTTTTTACAACATAATCGCAAGTGAGGTGGATTCAGTTGATGTATAAATTGCCTTTATTATACACATAAATTGATCTGTAAAATTTCCCTCAAAACTGCTGAAATACCAAACAATTGGGATCCCAGACGCTAACAATATGAAGAAGAAGGACGAATAGCTTCAATTCCTTTTTTCCTTGTGATACCAGTTGGTACACCATAACAGACCGGCGCAGCACCAATCAAGTGTGGCAAGGTGCACGCTTCTCGAGCAGCGGCTATGAACGAACCGATCTTACGTCTACTATGCTTGTGATTGCACTCGATCTTCCCTGATCCATCGACATTTGATTGAGCTGGTTTGTTACGCCAAGACGGTTTCCTTGACCTCTTGGTGTTGTTGCCTTTTAGGTTCATGGCTGCAAGTCCATTAGCTAATGACTCACACTGGCTACAACCACCAACCTCT